GAGGTTTTAAAAATATTCTCCGCTTAAGAACCTATTTATTATCCACTTATTTTTCCAGATCTAGAAATCTAAAATATGAGAATTATACAAAACACTGAAGATTTATGCACAAGGCTATTCACCATGTCATTTACTTAGCAATGATCATAAATACACTAAACTTCATACAATAACAGAATTGATGGCAGAAAGAAAAAAAAACTATGGAGTGATGGAACATTATACAAACTTTATGAAATTTTCATAATCTGATATGAGAAATACTTATGGTCCAATGATAAGCCACAAAAATGTCATACAAAATTATGTATGAAGGGTATCAGGTAGAGAAAAATGCAACTGAAAAAAGCAATGGGACAAAATATGCTAAAACTCTAATGATGGTGCTTTGGAGAAGGTACTTTAATTATTTTTCCTACTTTACATTTCTCCTGTATCTATGATTTTTTACAATTGTTATAGTTGGAAATTGTTTAAAACTCAGAAATACTTTACTTTCCATTTTGTTTTCTATATTCTTATCCCTGTTCAGATTTTCTCTTCTTTCACTGTTTCTCAGTTATACGTCACCAAAAAATGTTTTTAAGTAATGCCCACTGACATTTATTTTGAAAACAATCTTTAGATTCTAAGAAAGAAGAAAATAAAATTCACTGCTGTTAGTTCATCATCACTATTTTCTCTGTCTTGATTTTATGTCTCCCCCGTGACACTCCTGCTGGCCTAACAGTGTGTTCCGATTCTCATCGTGGTTTTCTGGGGATCAAAGAAGCCCAATTCCTATCTCAGCTCCACCATTATATATATGTATCACCTTGGGGCGGGGGGAGGGAACAGCTTAAATTTCCTGTTTCTTAACTGAAGAAGTAGGAGACATCAAATAAATTATTTTGCAGAGACCTCTTACAGTTTTAAGGTTTTCTAGCTTAGTGTATCATTGCCATGATGAGGAAAGGAAAGGACGGGGCTGGGGGAGGGATCCGTCTTTGCAATGTGAGTGCTGGGAAATGAGTCTCCACCTAATCAGCAGACTCAACTTGATGCGAGGAAAACTGATGGGAACACTGACTGGTTCCTGTTTGTTCAGAAACACTACTTAAGAAAGTGGGCTTCAACAACCCTGCTAGGTATTACATCCTTCAGCTTCTCTCGGTAGCAGGACAAACTAGATGATTCTCAGAACTGCGGGAATTACTTAAACAGATGTGAAATTGACCAACAGTGAGAGGAATAAAGAACACTGTACATTGATGTAATTTTTGAATTATAATTTCTAGGGAACTTCCCTGGAAAAATAAAATATTTTATTGTTCTTTAAATGCTATAATGCTGTCATTTCAAGTACCTTCCTTTCAAAGTCCATAGCTTAAAAGGTGCCAATCCTGAATGAAAATCAACTTTAACAATTCAGTTTTTCATTTAAGTTCTGTTTTGAAATTTCTTACAAGATGTCTGAATGGAGTGATGGACTATCATATAAAATGACGATCTATTAAACAGAAATGAGAAAAAAAAACTAGAATGTAGGATGCCACTTTTGCTGGCTTGGATTTTTCTTTCAGGGACAGCATCCTATTTCTCATACCAGAGAATGAAGGAAATTTGGAGATTTTGACAATCTGCAGGTAGGCAATGGCCATTTGAGTAAGTGCTTCCTAAATACTGGTGAGTGGGGACACTGAAAGATCAAATTATTATTAAACACAGAAATATTATTTCTAAATGGAAGGCAGAAAAAAGAAAATGCCCAGATTCTCAGGGAAGGGATGTGACTACCATTCCAGTGTTTATGTGTGTTATTCATTTATCTTCATTTTCTGATCATACCTGTTCTCATGTGAATATTGGCAAGTATAGGAATCTGTCAGATGATGTAAATGAATGAATGAATAAATAAATAAATAATAAAAATTTTTAAGTAGGAAAAAAAAAAAGAATCTGCCTAAGATGTGACCTCTGGACGCTACTCTGCTATTCTAAGGATTTTATTCTGAGGAAGATGAAGTCAAGTAATGAAATGAAGAACCTATTGAATTGTGGGAAATGTAGTGAAATAATCAGTTAGAATCTGTTTCAGATCTGGGACTGTTCCCTCAATCCTGATGATTACTACTGTAGTGTCTCAATATTCTTCAAAAAAGAATCCTGAAAAGAGCCCTTAAATTTATTCCTGGAAAACAAGAAAATGAAATTGATTACACTACATCAAATAGAAAGGCATATCAAATTGTTGTATACAGTTTTTTGTATGTGTTTAATATGAAAGACATTAGCCTTTCAGACAAAAGCATCATGATTTTCTTACAGGCTCTGATGTCAGTTTTTCTACATTGTGATTTGGACCCCAAAATTCAAACCACAGGAAAGATAAATGGCACCAAGCTACAATACAAAGTTAAGATTCTGGGCTGTACAGTGTCCATTGCATAAATAATCATCTTGGCTGGGCAAACTCTAAGACTGATGCTGTCAATGCTGGGCAGCCAGCCAAGGGAAAGATATGAGGAAGAGAGAGGACCAAACTTAGCAACTCCAAAAAATGCTCACGGAAGCACAAATCTTTATTCTCAGAGGGGTGTAACAATACAGAGCACCCACTTCCTTTTCTCTGTATCTCAGCTATTAAGAAACTGCATCTAAGGCCTTCTTTTATTATGGATACTGCCCAAATTTAAGGCATGGTCTAAAGATGGGAAAATAAAGAAGAGAATCCATGTAAAACATAAAAGAAAGATTTCTAATAAAAAGTCACCCAACAGGACAGCCTCACATCTGAAAATTGAAAACCCCCATGTGTACCTATGAGAGAAAACCATAAATATTACACTTAGCCTAAGAAAATAAAGAAATAGCAAGAGCATAAAGATTGAGAAAAAGACACTAAAACTTTACAGTTACCAGTATTTATATAGGTGTTCTTCCATTATTGTAGCCAACTGCCATTGCTCTCCACCTAAAGCTGCCAGCACTGTTCTTTGCAAAATGCATTTCTGCTCAAGCTGGTTCTGACAAGTGAGGAATATGACTTTTTATTAAACTAATGCTAGGCACTGTAGAGGTCAAATTACTGTTAGAACCAGAATGTCTGTTTTCTAAATGGAAAACAGAGAAGCTAAACATGCATATGAGTCAGTAGAGAGGCATGGCTGATATTCTAGAATGTGTCTGCCATGCTCACTTGCTGTTTTCAAAGACTGCATTCTCAGGATGTATTCACACAGTAGACAGCAGCTCTAGGAATCCAGGATTATTATTTCCTACACAGCGTCAGAGGAGCCACAGGCTGCAGATTGATTTTTCGCTTCTAAGAGGTTAGATTGTTTCTGAAAACATTACCAATGCATAGTACCTTGCATGTCATGATCGTAACATTTTGATGCCATATCAGATTTCAAGTTGCTAGGCTCCCTGAAGACAAGGTGATAATCCCAAAGAGCACTTACAGTTGTTACATTGAGGGGACAGAACCTACCAAGATCAGCCAGCTGCCTTTGACCATCCTTAACAAATTACTCTTTTGAGGACAAAATCCTCCCTTTAGTATACTACATTAAGTAGAGTTAGACATTAATGGGGGAGAACCACTGAAATCTCCTAGTAACATCCAGGGAAGAAAGGAATTTATGTGAAATTCTTAAAGGTGGAGAAGGCAATGCAGGTTTGCAGTAACTTGATTGGCCAACTGAGAATTACTTAAAACAGATCCACAGAAAGGACTACACACTGCAAAAGGGAAGA